ACTCTTAGTCCGGTCCTTCGGGTGTCGGCTGTCCCTGGCACGTGGTTTACATTTACTAAGTTTTATGAAAGGTCAGCTGTAAAGTACTTTAAACGTCAAAGCCATAAACGCCTTAAATGTTTGAGTCCAGTCTACAAGAATACATGGTATGATATTGCGCATTTTGTGTGACGTCATGTGGATGTTATGACCGGCAACTTTAAATTCTGGCTTGTTACATATTCGTATTATCACTAGCAACGAACGATACCAAATTTTAAACACATGTTATTAGCATCTGATTTCACTTGAGCATCCTCTAAGATAAGTTACCCCATGATTAAAAAGTGAACCAAACCTCAACTTCCATTATAACCTCACATATCACTGATAAATTGACATTTGACAGCTTTCGAAGTTGTCTGAAGAGCGTTTCAAGTACGGTTTTCAAGGCAGTGTGACGTCACGTGGCTGGTGCGCAAAACAGACGAAAATTCATCCACCGGAGTAGAGCCAGAAATGACTGAGTCTTTTGGCGGTATATACCTTTTCTTGCGTTTATGTTGGCTTAACGGAAGTAAGTGACAATCGCGACATACGATAAGTTTAGGTTATATTTTGGAATTTTTGGATACATTGTGCAAACTAAAAATGTCAACACTCTGTCGATCTTGACAACTGACAACCGGAAGCGATTGAAAACATCCTGATACCAATTTCAACATATACCTAATAAAGGAGTTTATTAGGGATATGAATTTCAATTAAAAATTCAGGATGGCCAACAGACTCAGTCATTTCTGATCACGTGGGATTAATAATAACAGTGTTGTATTCCCAAATTTTCGGGAATATGTAGTGAACCGATTCTGATTTAATCAATAAAATCAGTTGACTCATTCATTCATTTTTTTGAGACGCCTGTATATGCAGTTTTAAAAACTGCAAACTCATCATATTTTGCACATTCTCGATAGGATCCATTCAGTAAAATTTTGAGATGACTTGATTAATTTTTTGGAGGTAGATAAACATATATATTTTGTTAAAAAAAATGCAATGCTTACATAACTTTAAAATGTGTACAAGATTTCAACGCATTAGTTTTACAGTTCTTGATTTAATCAATATAACAAACTGACTTATTCTTTAATTTTTTTGAGTCACGCTGTATGAGAAATTCCAAAAAATATGAATGAAATGAGAAATTTATAAGAAGTTTACTGTTCAGAGTTGCAGGTGTTCGGTTGTGGCGAACCCTTTGACCTCCGGCGAATGATGACTGCTTCTGCTGGTAGTCGGTCTCTTTCATAAGACCGACAGACCGACTAACACAACACACAGTTACACAGCAAACACCAAAAGTGTAAACTATGTCGGCCAGCTCCGACTTTTTCATAAATAAAGCCTTGATTGTTATTGTTCAATTAATTCAGTGTTGTAAACAACACAAATAAAGTCCTTCGAAGCAACAACAACAACTAGTAACAATACATTGTTTTAACGAAACGAAACATTTACACTCTCCTATTTGGCACATTTTCGGTAAGATGTCTTGAACAAAATTTTGTAATGACGTCATCCATTTTTGGAGGAAATAAACAGATCTACATACTTTGATTAAAAATTTATCCTGTTTACAATAAATTTAAAAGATTCACATAATTTCAAAACATTCGATTTTACAGATACAAACTGAATACGCATGCATAGACTACACGTCTAGAAGTACGTTATTTCATACAATGTAAAGCCCATTTACTATCTACAATTTTAAGATGACATTATCACACTGTTGCTGAGAATGATAGACAAAGTTTGGTTAGAGTTTTACCCGCTATTCGTAATACAAATATAAAATTTGACAATAATCGGTCCAGTAGTTTCTGAGATCAAAATTTAGCTTTTTCCTTTGTGTACGTGAGTTGTATTTTGTTTTTAATGATTTATAACTGTTCACTATGCTATACTGCCTATCTGCCAAAGAAAAGATTTGCAATTTCAAAGATTACATAAAGTGACGTAAAGTTCTTATTGAGCAACTTTTGGAAGACATAATATACTTGTTCTATATCAACCCACACAGATTTTGTCAGATGGAACTGAAATCTTAAAATTGTCCCATCTGTACATCGCTGTTATATATATTGTCATAGGAATATTCTACTGTAAGGCATAAACATTAAAGTTGTGAACAACGAATTTATAAAGGCAACTCATTTCATACGTTTACGATACCATGGAAATCACTAAACCAAAATTTGTCTAATTATAATTAGAGGATAATTATCCTCATCAACAATGGAATGATGTTATCTTCAAAATTTACAGTACTAAATGCTATTTTAAATTTATAAAATAAGAAACACACTTGTGGTTTATTAATCCGTGTTTAGTTTCTACCCTAGACATCCAGATTTTTTGGAAAAAAAAATGGTCCAAAATTATTTCGACAGAACTTCCCTCGCCCTTGAAATACAATAAAACAAATCCAGCTTTTTCGAAAAATTATTAAATCTGATTATACAAATTTTATTTATTTTTATGAGAACCCTTATTATTATAAGTTAAAATAAAGATATGCATGAAACGTTAAAGTAAATGTAAAGAAACGTGCTGGGCGTAGGTTCCCTTAACAGGATTTTGCGATGACGTCATCAACATTTTGGATAGGTGCACTGTAATACTAATGATAACAGTATTGTATTCCCAAATTTTCGGGAAAACGGAGTAAGCGGTTTCCGATTTAAGGAATAAAATAAATTGACTCATTCATTAATTTTTCTGAGTATAAGAAATTCAGAAACTTTTAATGCAATGATAAATCACATGTAAAAACTCATCATATTTTACAAATTTTGGATAGGATTTATTCGGCAAAATTTTGAGATGACGTCATCAATTTTTTGGGAGGGGGTGAACGAATAAATTTTGTTAAAGTATTAACCATGAATACGATAACCTTAGAATATTTACAAGATTTCAGAGCAATCGGTTTTGCAGTTTCAAAGCTATTTTTGCAAAATATTGTTATACAGTTTTGAATTTTTTCTAAAAATTCTGGATGTTTAGGGTGAAAATTTGACACGGATTCACACACCACAAGTGCAGAAGTATCTTATTTTATAGACTTAAAAAAAACTTTTTATTACAAATTTTGGAGATGCCGTCATCACATTGGTGGTAGGGATGATTATCCAAATTTTAGTTAGCGTTTAACCATCTAGATAATATTACTAATATATATTTACAAAATGTGATAACAATCGGTCCAGTATGTTCGGAGATTATCTGTCTAATAGAAATGGATACAGACAGACAGACAGACGGACGGAAACGGGAGACCAGGTTTTTCGTACTCTTGAGGTCATGACACGTCGAGAAAATATGAGAGTGGCAATTCGGCCGATGGACCCGATTATTATACTTCCTTAGCTTATGCTCGGGAAGTAAAAAATTCGAAATTGTATAATAACATTTTGCAATGAACTATAACTTTGAAGTTATTGATGTTTAAGGTTGTCGTAAGCATTGTAAATCCTTAATCAAAATTTATAGGTGTAGCCTGTTCCAGAAAACTAACTCACTCAAAATTTTACAGAATAAATTTTATCTAAAATATGCAAAATAATATGAATCTATACTTGTAGTTTCTCGACGCATTCATGTTTTCTCAACGTTTCATGACCTCTAGAGTTTAGAGTATGTCTTGTTTCCATCTGTCTGTCTGCTGTGTGTCGTCTGCCGTCTGTCGTCTGTGTCGATTTTTATTAGACAGATAATCTTTGAAACTACCCGACGGATTGTTCTTAAATTTTGTATGTAGGTACATTAGGAATATGGATGGTGAAACGCTAACTGAAATGTGTAAGTTGTATGCCAAAATATTAAATCCATTACTAGGTCTCCTGTATGGAGAAAAAATTTCTTGCTAAAATATTCGGATGTGACCAACATAACGTAAAATGTACCCCATTTGTGTATATACGGTATAAATAAGGTCATTTCTGAGGGAAATGTGTTGTTACAGTTTAAAAAATTTATGTGCAACATTTTTTTTTCAGGCTTAATTCACTGTTAAATACTTGGGGAAATTTCAGATCGATTCTCACTTAATTATAATTACACACATGGATACGACTAGTCCCTTCTAGAACTATTCTATGCTAATAATGAAAAATGTGGTCAAATAAGATAGCATGTTTTGTTGAGGTTTACTGGAAGATGATTTTTGCCATTTAACTTTGATGAGTATTTTAAGACAAAGATCAAATGCTACAGTAATTAGTAAATTAATGAAGTCATTTAATTAATAAGGAATTTCCCCTCGGTTTTAAAAGTAAATTATTATCAACAACTCAACAATCACAAATAGAATAATGAAATGAAGTAGTAAGTTGGATACTTTTAACATCATGTAGGGATAGGCGGAAAAAAGTTATTGATTACCACCACTAGTCCCCACAGACGTGCGGCCGAAACAATTGCGAATTTCATTATTAATCATTTACAACATCTGTCCAATGAATTTGTGTCCAACTTAAACTACTTAAGGCAAAAAGACAAACTACTTTTAACAAAAATTATAATACACTGATTTCGACACATTTAGACGATATTGATCCATATAGAAAACAATTTCAACAATATTTCAGTCATCCACCTGTTAATAATGTCGATGTTGAACGATCAGTTTCAATATTCAAGAAAATAATAACAACAAAACACACTCGTCTGGCTATGAAAATGTAAACGCTTGGTAATTCTGTATACAAAAATGTCTTGAACGGAAATGGATAAATATTGAATTGATATGCTGTGTCTCGAACGACAGAGCAGTGCGTAGTTGTAGTTCCCTGGTTGTAGTGGGGTTATTTGCCGAGTTTTCACGTATTTCCGCCTAAACCGGAATTCATTAGTTAACAACTAACTTCCATGTGCAGGCGAACTGATAAAAATCATAACATTCAGCTTTCAGTTTATTACCGGATTTATCATCAACAAATGAAGAAAAGACAACCTAAGTTTTTTAACATTTATTGAAATGCAAGTTGTATAGTATATACAAAAGTAAGAAAACATGCATAGCTAGAAAGAACTATAATGCTAGGTTGTTAACTATAATACTATATTGTTGTAGATCTACCGTAACGTTGAACGTGGAATAAATTTATGTATGAAAAACACGTTTTTAATCTTAAAAGATCTTAAAATATATTCATAGTTTAATAAATTTCTTGCAGAAATAACTTTTAAAAATGTCACTGATATAAACATTTTAAAACATTTAATTGCACTTTCTATATGCTTATCATGGTTTTCATGTCGTACTAAATTTCTTGTATACGTATAAGTATACAATTAATTTTAAATATAATTTCTTATGTTTTTAAAATTCCAGTGAAATAAGGTTAATTTCACTTAATGTTGAAGAGGGAAAGTAAAAGAGTTGATCTTATTGTGTTTTATCTGTATGTTAGTTACGTGTGTTATTTGCTAGTGAAAACACTTTGTCACTACAGGTTCTATATACAGATATTTATATAAACGTGTTACCGATATCACTAGTTTACAGAAGTGTTATGTGAAAGCAATGGAGTAGGCAAGATTTTAAGATATTCACAGAGAAATATCAAGAATATATTTAGTGAAAATTTTAAAATATTGCTTACAACTTTCTTTCTTCATATACTCTCCTTCATTACTACAAGTATCTTAAATGTTGATACATTTCACTACAGCTGTAGTAAATGAAATTTTCTGCTGAGCTAGTACTCAACTAAATCAATTTGTTTCCTTAATTAGAGTCCAAAAGTAATCCACCATGTTTTCTTCATATCGCTAAATTTTGGTGGAATCTTGACGTACTGTCTTTTGGCTTCCTTCACACGAAACAAAAAATGTGCAAAGTGTTATTTTGAAATGCTTATATCAGAACATATTTAATATTGTGCATCTTTTTTATGGTATCTCAAATTTACTTTTACTATAATGCAATGAAAACATATATGCATAATAACATTTTTAAACCATTAATAATACAGGTCAATCTCCGATTTCCGCTGTTCTTTTTTTATTTATGCATAAATTGTCGTAAGCTGTCATTATTATTTATTAGTATCCAGAAATTATTCAAAATGTATAACATTTTATGCAATGGTGATGTTATTTTGATGAAACTGTATCAGCTTTAGTATGTTAAATTTAATACATTTATTAAAATCCTATAATGGCACCTTAAACACAAAATATAAGTTGCTATAAAGAAAAATAAATTAGAACAATCAGTTACAGTTTTTATTCTACTTTACTTTCAATAAAAACACTGATAATGACAACTTAAATTATGCCAACAATCAAATATTACAAAAATCAGCCTTGCATTTTAATCACAATGAGAGATCGTCATAAGAAATGAGTTAAGTCCTTAAATAAAGTACTGACAAAACAGAATGATTGCCTCATCTACAAATGATATTATTATTAAGTATATTAATTTTATAATAAAATACCCTTAATCACCATGGTAAAATTCGGCGTCGCAATTAATTAATTCATCATTAGATCAGCATAATGAAGCAACAACTGTAAAGTAGATGACACAAACCACTCCGTTTCCAGCAAACTGTTATTTTCTATCTTCAAGTTATTTTCATTACCTCTTTGAAGAAGTCACTGTAATACTATAAACTTTTTAAAAATAGAGCATAACAATTCGCACGTGATAATTTGTGTTATGTAATTAATACAACAGTAAATAAGGGGACGAACTTTTGATTGTCCTCCTTTGCTTGTATTTTAAGCGCATATCTAATTATTAAAACATCTAAGTGTACAAAATTAACGAAAAGCTAACGCACAGATTTATCTTCTTAGAAAAAGCTACAAAATATGTACATCTATATAATTGTAAAAATCTTAAAAAATCACAGTGCATTTTGGGGTGGTGCTTTTGGATTTTAAAAATTTGTGTGTATATAAATATTATAATTTGCTCAGATATGCAGAATTGTGTATAACTAGAGAAATTTTTTTAGGAATAGAAGATATTTTTTTCTACAATATACAAGATTTTTTTTATCTAAGTATAGCTACTGAAAATCGTAATCACACTAGTTAAAATGATTTACAAGCTAATAAAAGTGAGTATCAATTACTGTTATCATATTAATAAGTGGAAACAACTCATCAGTAAACACACCAAAAACCATTTGCTTTATGATGCATGCGTGCTATAATAAAATGTGCTGTATTAATATCGACCAACATAGTTAATACAGGAATTAAATATTATGAAAAGGCACGTTGAAGTTGTGTTAATTTTAAAATAAGTGTCCGGACCTACGTAAGTCTTGGACGGACTTTGGATAACATTTTAGATTACTTTGTTCTATTATAATTTATAACGTTTATTCGTTAAGTATGTAAAAATCAAATTTCTTTCAATTTCGAGATAAGGCGTATTTTTTAAATCTGCTTATAAGAGTTAGTAACTACTGTTTTTTTGTAAACATAAATACGTACGTATAACTTAACTAACATTGAAATAACAAAAATATTCAACTTAAAATACAAAGTTGTTGACGACTGTAGGTACAGTATTAATAATTTCTGTGATGTGTTTACTAAAAGTTGTCATTTTTACTTAACTTTCATTATGTTAGAGAAATGTATGTAATTTTCTTTGTTATTTTTAGACTGCTGTAATTTTCTACTGTAAAATATGTTTTTTTTATAAAATTAATAATTTGCAAACCAGGAAATAATAAGCGTGATAAATTTGTACAGCTCAGATGTATGTTATACATTGTTATAAGAGCTGGTTAAAGCTGACAGTGTAAAACAAATTTAAAAACAGGTATACAATATTTGGCTTTGTGTATATTCAAAATTACTGCTTGCATTAACCATTAATTACATCAGATGCATGTTTTACGTTAAGTTTTCCCTTGTTAAACAATTAGTCCCTTTCTCTTTGCGTTTGAGCCATTCATTGTGTAGTATATTTCCAATTTAATTTAATACTGTCTTGAATTAAAACTGTATTGTCGGGCATTTGAAATTAGTTCCCTAGTTTCTGAAGGAGTTCCAGGACTTAAACTAGCTGTCGTTGTCGTAGACATTGTCTCTTTATTCTCTGGAGGTTTTATTTCATCTGACGCCTTTTCAAAAACATCTTCTTCAATAATTTTTTCTAAATATGCATCCCCATTTTGTATATTATTGGGTGCTATTTTCGATTGCGGCGAATGAACTGGTGTAATGTCGGTAAACCCTCTTTCTTCGTCTTCTCGCTTTTTTTCTAAAATTCTTCTGTGGTTCTTAGTAGTTAAGCAACCTGTTTCCACATCGCGCTCTAATCTGTGACCACTCCTAGATCTTGTAAGTTGTCTAGAAACATACTCGTTGAGATCTTCTTCTTCGCGTCTAGACATAACGCGATTAAGCGCAATAAGGAAAACACCCAAAGCGGCGACAAAAATGCCTGTTGCAACAAGTTCGTTCCACCATCCTCCCCCTCTCCAAGTTACCATATCATCGGGCAAAAGCCCCGACCCTATAAGGAAGAGGCCGAACACTAAGAAGCATACTCCAATGTGAAGCATTCCAATTGAAGTGGCTAGTCGATGATCCGGTGGAGCGTGGTGCGGAATTTTCTTGGTTGGAAGATGTTCCATGCTGTCCATACTGCTGGTGCGTGAGGACAAACGTCTTTCTCGTTCCAGTGCTCGTCGTTTAGCTTGTTCTCTCATTCGTCGTTGGCGTTTAATGGCCATGGCCGAGTGGAGGCCAGCTGAACCATGCATCTGGAATCCAGGCAGTATATAAGTCTTCCTGCATGCACTGCACAACACTGCACACAGCACTGCACTAACTTGCACTGCACTGTACACAGTGTATCAATGGGCAACAAGCAGTCCAAAAAGTAAAGTCCCTCTATTTGCGCCAACATGTCTAAAACAGCCGTAATTAAATATACAAATTAACACTTCCAGTTTGCAATATATGGAATTGTTACGGAATTAACTCATGTATTTTGAATTTTGATTGCAGTTCTTAAAATTTGTTTTCACTGATGTGTTCTACAATATTGTTTTGAAATAAAGGCAAATTGAAGTATACACTTCAAAAGAACAAATAAACTGAAAAATGTTGATATCATATTCTACATATAAGGGACATTACTTTTATAAACCGTATGTGTCAACACAACCACTAAACTAATTTGTGGAGGCAAATAACAGTAACGAATATACTTTTTTTTGAACTGTCACCACATACAGACAAAATGATGGGCGTCAAGGTGTGTGTGTTCTAACTAGGTCAAAATATAATAGAAGATATCTTGGTGTCCCTCTTAATAATTTATAACTTGAAATTAGAACTTATTATAGCTACATAATGTACAATATTTTAATTTTAATCTTATTACGAGTACGATATATTACAAATTTTCAACTGCTCATTCCGTCTGAACGTCATATATCTTTCTAATATTTATGCATTTTAATTTATAGGGCGATTCCACTAAAAGTTGCAAAAAATTGTCTTATGAAAAACTTTTATTTAGATCGTAAAATTATATTGGAAAACGTTCATAATAAATATTTTTTATATGTGAATTCATCAATTATTATTATAGTTTTTCTATTTTTTACAGTTATCAAATTATCTAACATTTTTGTTATTAAACTAGTTTTGCAAGAAGTACAGAATAGTTTCATTCCTTAATATAGTGACTGCTTATAGAAAAAATTGTCCTTTTTAATAATTGACGACAATAGATCATAACACATTTTGTTTCAGTTATTAATAAATTCATCAAAAAAGACAAAAAAGGTAAAAATAGGTCCCAAAAAATTAAAAGCTTGCAGAAAAACATACTTGTTTAAAGAAAGTATCAGGTTATAGAAAAGAAAATGAAAACTTTGTAACGAAAGGGAACAATGTTTGAATATTGTGCTAAGGACTTTAACGTGAATATTTGAACGTGAACATATTAACAACAGTATCAACAATAATAAAAATTAAGTAGTAATTAAGTAGATTTTATACATAACATACATAACTCCAAATCCATAACGGAAACTACACTGAAATTTTGGACAATTTAAAAAACAAAATAATAATGTATTAATCTCCGTTGTAGAATACTGTTACGAAATGAACCCATACGCCGCCCCAGTACGACGCCTATGGGTTTTCTAGTATGAACGGTAATGAGCGGTGGTGACTCAGCATCGGTGACGGCGACCGAGAGCGTGCGACTAAAGAAGCGGCTAGAAGCGGTTCTGCGGAGGTCTCGGCAGGGCTCCAGAACGAGCTCGAAGCGATGACGGCGAACTATCGAGAGACCATGGTCGGGAACAGTCGATTTTTGTTAGATAAATAATTTCCGAAACTATTGGACCATTTGGTATCAAATTTTATATGTCCATTATGAATATCATGTAGATAGCAAAACACTAACTAACCAAACTTGGTTTATCATCCCCACCAATAATGTGATGACGTCACTTCAAAATTGTACATAGTAAATGGGTTTTAAATTGTATAAAATATCATACCCCTACACGTGTAGTTTATGAATCCGTGTTGGATTTTTTTATTTTTGGAAAAAAATCAAAATTTTATAACAACATTTTCCAATTTAATTTTCAATCTGCAAAACTTAAAACAAAAACAAACAAAATTAATTATGTTCACAATTAGGAAAATGTCTTCGCCTTCTAAGTATTGCCTACACTTTTCTGACTCTATAGAAACTGCAACGACCGATTAATTGTTCTGACTATACCCAGAATCTTTTAAACCAGCAACATCAAACAACTGTGGTTTGTTAAAAAAAAGATAGGGATTTCTTCTTACCACCATTTTTTGATACTTTGCGTACAATGGACCTTTCACATGACATACAAAACCTCTAATAAAAAGTACTCCTTTTGGGTGTTGCTCTTTTTTGGGATGTATAGTGCAGTGGCGGCTCCTCAGAGGAGGCAGGGGAGGCTGAGCCTCCTCTGTTTTTTGGAGCTGAGCTTCCTCTAATTTTTTCGATGAAAGAATTTGTATTTTTGTAGACATTTGTTACTTTTCAGGATATTTTGTTTGATTTAATTTACGTTCATCATATATCAGGTCAAAATGTCGAAAAAAAATTATATTTGCGCCCTTACAATCATAATTCAGACCGCTCCGCGTTTGACTTCAGCGGTAGAAGCTAGCCTCCGCCGAGAATGCATCTTGCTATTGAGACCGTAGACCTTGACGCATCGTCATTGAGTACTGCATTGACTACAACGTCGATCGGGGTGCCGCTTCAGGCCGCTAGCCTCCGGCTAGTTCATCTCTTTTCAGATCAAGTCGCACGGATAATTTTATCTCTTTCTTATTAATTGGCGCCATCGGGTGTAAATAGGAAAAACATTGAGGTGGTTTCGCGTGCTCCCTATTCAGTGGTGAGTGGTGTTTAGTACCTACGTAAAGCCTAAGGTGTTTTTTGTATCATTTATTTGCATTTTATTTCTGATCGTTAAAAACAGTTGGTATTATCGGCATATTAATATTATTTATCGAGAATGAGCAACGAAAATAATTCAGTCTCATGTGCAGATACGTAAATTATCTATTAAAAAATTAATTTAGTAGCTTTGATTGTGATAAAAAGATCGCTATAAAACAAAAGGGGAGACCAACACCACCACTCCCATTAATGGTAATGACAGGTAAAAAGCAAAACAGAGTATTTCATGAAAATAATAATAATAAAACTAAATGGTTAACGCCTTCGGTTTTAAGAAACAAATTATACTGTTGGAATTGTGTATTATTCACAAGTGATAAATCTTCCGTTTGGGATAAAACAGGCTATAATAATTTACGAAATTTGTCAAGAGCTATAGAAAGGCATGAAAAATCACATCTACTACTTTAGATTTCGCTCATAAGAGGGATATTGAGAACTATAACGAGAAAGTTGGTGAAAATAGGGCAATTTTGAAAAGACTAATCAATGCAATAGTTTATTTATCTATCAACGCAGGAGTGTTCTTCTCGTGGGCATGACAAAAAAATATTCAGATAATGAAAGATATAAAAAGTAGTGCTTTTCAAATTTGAGCCTCCTCTGAAGAAAACTTCACGAGCCGCCACTGGTATAGTGTATGTTCAAAATCAAAATTACGAAAAGGTTACAATTACTTATACCTTATAATAATCCTATGAATTTTCGTCTAATAGGCTAAATGGGCGAGGTTTTCCACTAATTAATAGTAACGAATTTATACGATTGATTGACACACGAGATAAGCGAAATTTACGAAATTAGTTAGCGCACTTTTAGCGTGCTTGCCAGGCCTGCAGTGGCACCGGCGCTACGATGTTTGAGTCGCTTGGAGGTTACCCGATAAACAATAAAACCAACAAGTTTGCGCTCCTCAAATTGACTATATTAAGAATGTGGTAATACAGAGGAAAAAAATACAGAGTTGAAATAATATCCGCCCTTAGCGATTCCTCGTCCAGTGGCGTCGACAGACAGCTGCGCGGCTGGTCTTTCAAAGTGCGATGTTTGAACTGCTCCGTGAGCTTCCTAAAGGACAGAACGTAAGGACGATAGTGACAAGAGTGACCCTCACCGAAGTGGAGTGCGACAGAGAGACTGACCACTCTGGTTTTAACGATAGCCGGAATTCCTAGAACTCAGTCTCCTGTCAGAAATTTTAATTTTGGATTCGGCCCCCAACGAAAAGCTAAATAAAACCGTGCCCACAATTGTAGGGGATGTCAGGGAGACATTGAACGAGAAATTTACCTCCCGATGGAGTATAGCTTACGAGACTTTTACAAGATGGACATGTCTTGTCTCAAAAAAAAAATCTGATGGAGTTGAAGTGTGCGAAACACCTATCCAAGCGATAGCTTCATTGAGAAAAGGGGGCTGAATTGAGCTAAAAGAAAACCGAGCAAAATGCACCAGCACAGTCAAAAACGAAGTAATGGAATCCCTTCAGAGCGTCATACAAAAAAAAATTGGTCGAACATTGTTTCGACAGAACTTCCCTCGCCTATAAAGTACACTCCATCAAATCCAGTTGTTTTGAAAAATGAAAAGATTTGATTTTGGGAATTTTATTTTTTTATGACAACTTATAACTTAAAATAAAGATATGTAGTAATGTTCAAGTAAGAGTGAAGAAACGTGCTACGCGATTGTCTCAAGGGAGTTTTCTGTTACACAATTTTGCCATGACATCATCAACCTTTTTGCAAGAACACGTATATCAGTTTGGATAGATGTAGTGTAATACTAAAAATAAAAGTATTGTATTCCCAAATTTTCGGGAAAATGAAGTGGGTCGTCTTGAATATTGATTTATAATCAATAAAATAACGAAACAGTTTACTCACGTATGTCGCGTGTATTCGCAGAAGAAATCATCTATGTATAAGCATTCGTAATTTAAGACAACAAGCGATAACGCTTGTTGAGAGTGTATACGTGAGAGTGAAACAGAGAAACTGCAAACAATGTCGATGGTCCAGACTGTTTTATTGCTTCGACTTCCGCTTAATAAAAACATTGAATTTTATTTTAATTTTTGATCGTGTAATTCACAATTCGTTGATTATAACTAGTCTTATACCACATTCACAGAACCTAGTCAGCACAACAAAACAAACGAGTTTTTACTTTACAAAATTTTGTGTCTATCAAATTGGGTTGGTGCAATGTAATACTAATAATAACAGTGTTTATCTCCAAATTTTTGGGAAAATGGAGTGAGCTATTTCTGATTTAATCAATAAA